AAGTTCCAATTTTCAGTTTCCACTTCATGTTTGGATGGACGGAAAATCTATTATGCACCGGGCAAGTGGGCCTGGGGTTTTGTTTGCAAGTGCAAGCGCATTATGCAAAAGTTGTTCCGTTGTATTATTTCCCATTTTCCGAGCTATTTTCTCATTTTTCTCTCTCCTTTTTTTTTTATTTGGGCGGCATGTAAGGGCTCGAGCTCTTGACGGCGGCTCATGTGGAATAACTGGGTCGTGAGCTCCGAGGAAGCCAAGCTTACAGCGTGAAAAATGCAATCAATTTTATTATGCTTCCCGTTCTTCTCCACATATATGTGTATATATATATATATATATATATCGGTGCACAATTGGGCAAATCAGGCAGAAAGGCAGGATGCACGGCAGCCATCGCAGCCATACATGTAGATGCGAATCGCGATAGTTGGCGGAAGAATGGGGACCCCGAGCGGGTTTCCTGTTTAACACGTGAACGGAAGGACAGACAGCCATAGTGTGGGCGTTGCATTGAAACGGATGCGAGCCCGATGGGGCTTTGAACGCTATTATCCTGAAGCAGGCCAATTGGCTGCCAGGTGGATTGGAGCCAAAGATTCATCTTAAGCTATAGCAAATTTAAGTTAAGTCATGTAGGACTAAATCAAAGATTGGGTTAAGGATGAAAGGAAGCTAGAAGGTAAATCAAGTGTGACCAGGATTCTCTACCAGGTCACCATGCTCTACCACAATGTGACCATGCTATACACAAGGCTTAGGCGAAGTAAGTTTAAGGTTAAAATTGAACAATAAGCTAAATTAAAATAAAAACCGCCTTAAAACGGAAATAAAAGTTGACTTTTAATGGTGTCAATCAATACTTTCGATTAAAATAATAACAAACCTATAACTTGATCTCTTTAACCTCAATAGCCTAAAGTTTTTGTAACGAAAAGGCTGAATAAAAAACAAAGCCAATTTACTCTGATTATGAAAAAGGCAAAGTTGTGGCGCCAGCTGAAGATTATTATCAATCTTTGTTATAAATAAATTGAAAAACTAGTTTCAGCTCTATGAATAGCTATAGTTTATTAATATTTATACAGCCAATAATTGGCATTCAAGTTCATTCAAAATCTTTGAAAGAATTGGTTTTTGTTAACCAATCTTTACAATAGAAAGGCACTAAATTCATAACTTAATAGGACTAGCCTCTACTCTCTAAATATTTGAATAAATCGCACAATCAGTCCAAAACCACATTCGATTTGATCCCAATTAACTATCGCTTTGTTAGCAGTTGTTACGACTACACGGAAGGCCTTATCGATGACGCCCACGATTGCACGCAAAACCCTCAACACAAATACTACGAACATAACGGTACAAGCGAACGCATTATCAAAACAATAAACAATTGATGGTATTTTGCCGGCGATAACAACAACCACAGACATCTTCGAGGCATAAAAATCAATAAAGCAAAAAATACAATTGCACGAACGCAAGAGGAAAGCAAGGCGAAGGCAAGACGAAAGTAAAAACAAAAGGAAAAGCAAAAGCAAAAACAAAAGCAAAAGCAGCAACTGAAACACAAACAGCAACAAACTGCTGGCAAATAAATAAAAATTGCTTTATTTATTAAGCATTAAACAATAAATGGGATTATTTTTATCATCGCCGCATAGAAATGTTTAGTGGAGCACAGGGCAGCCGAATGGATCCAAATGGAGTTGATGAGGTGGAAGGAGCAGAAGCAGTTGGGAAGAACAATACGGAGTACAGAGAGACCTCCGGAGTGCGAGAATAAAAACAAATTCAAGCACAAAAGGAGGAGGACGATGAAGAGCTACCAAGATAAATAAATGCAAATCATTTTTTTTCTTTCTGTTCCCAGTTTCTTATTTTTACAGCTAGATGGAGCTTTGTATACCCTTTACATCTTGTTTATGAAGGGTATAATGGGATCGTTTATACACTGAATAATATTGCTTGTATATATTAAAAGTATAATTTCTAAGGATAAAAAATAGCTGTAGGACAGGCTTATTTATACCCATTTGATTAATGAAAAAGCCCCAAACAGGGTAATTTAAAACCCATACCCCCTCTTATGACCATTCCCACTTGTCTCTCTCTGCAATGGAGTGTTTAGCCTCCGTGGGATTTGGGGGAAGGCTACCACGATTGAAAAGGGCATTAGGAAAAATGTTTCAAGGGTGGCAGTTTAGGCGAAGACGAAACAAGGTCCGGAGTTGGGATAGCCACCTAAGCATAGGCAATCAACTCATTTAAATGGAACCTTTCAGTGCTATGTTCTATGTACATATATCCGTTCGTACTTTTTGCACCACCTCTACTTTGTTGTTTTTGTTCATCCCGCATTTGATTTCAGCAAATTTGTAACTGCCACTTTGCATTACCTTTTTTTTTTTTGGTTGGTGTTGGCAACGTCCGATGGTCCGACCTTTGTGCGACCATCGAACCGAGAGTTGGGCGGCCGTTGGTGAAAAGGTAGCAAAAGTTTTGCAAGTGACAAATAGATTTAAATTCGAAAATACTTTTTTGTAGCCACTGTTTTGTTTCTGCTGGCGAGTGGAAGTTTGTGTTATGCAAAGCTCTATTGACAGCGGTCGTAAATCTTTGTAAAAGTGCCTGGAACCCATGTCAAAGGGGGGGCAAGTTAAGACTCGTGGGTCGCCCGATGGGTTGGGCGTGAAAATGTGTGTACGAACATGGAAAATCAGTTTTCCAGCTGGGGGTTACAAAACCCCTTTAGAAAGGTTATGGATGAGTGAATTTATCGCCTAATGGAAAAGTAAGCTGAAAAGAAAGAAAGTCACTTTGAAATATGTTTAAAACGAAAGTAGTCAGATAACTCACTATTAAAAGTCAAGTGCCTTGGACTTGGTAGCCTCTGCTGATTAATTTTGCTATCACTATACGCACGCCAAAATGTTATAAATATTATTAAAATATTTTGCTTATCTAACAGTGTGACTTGCTAATTGCTTGGTCAGATGGTAAGGCAAATATTCTTAGATAAAGTACTGGCAATATCTTTGCGATTAATTTGCTTGTATTTTTAGTAATTTTCTAAGAATTTCCTACTTGCGCTATGTCCATACGATTAGTGTTCTATTTGTGAGGAGAAAAGTGATCTCATTTCGTATTCCACGGCCTCTATTAAAATCTGTTTACATTGTACATTATCTGGTGCATATATGTATGTATATATTTTGCTATCCATCGTTCGTGGGATTCGTGTTGCGGCATTTCCAGGGAAATCCAATCCGCGGGGGCAATTATAAGGGGCACAAATGTTCACAGCTCAGCCGGGCCAAAACCAAAGACCAGGCCGGGCCAGCCGACGGACGGATTGCATTTACAAATTAGCATTCTAATGAGCGGAGTGGCATGGTGCATGGCAATTATGGCGCCCAATGTTTTTCCAGCTCTTGTTCTATTCGCAATTCTGCCAGAATTCGTTGGAAAAAACTGAAACGTAGAGCACAAGGGAAAAACAAGAGTCAGCAGAACTTGGCCTTTGCGTGTTTTGGCCAATTGAAATTGGGCGACTGTGGACTGTAGTTGAGTTCTTATGAATGGGAGACATAGCGACAACTAGGCCGCATCCAGTTGCAGAGACGCCACTCCTCCCCCCTTTGTTCCTTGGCCACCCCCTTTTCCGCTTCCTGACCACGCTCATGGTGTCAGCTTCAGAAGTTTTCAGTTTTGTTTTTGTGAGGGGGTGGTTGGGGGGTAACGGGGGAAAATGAAACCAAAAACCGGTTACTGTGCGTTGAAAAATTCTCGACTTTTGTTTCACATACACAAAACGGAGTTTATCTTTTGGCTCTGCTCTGGTCCTCGATCTGGCTCTCTCTCACTGCCTCTCTCTCTTTCCCACTCGCCGGCTTTGTTGTTTATCAAAATTCTTTGAAATGCACTAACACACACACACACACATATATATATAGTGTAACACGCACACTAGTCCAGCAATGCTTTGTCCCGCTCTGGCACACAAAATTAAATTTTTTCCTTTGGTTTCTTTTTAATTTTTATATGGCTCTTTGGCTGATTCTGTGGCATTTTCTTCCTGCTCTTTTTTCTTGCACGCTCCACTGAACCTCGAACTAAGGAGTGCCCTTACTTGTTGTTCTTTACGTTTGTACCCTGTACTTTTTGATCATTGAATGGGTATGTTATTTATAAGTTTAAGACAAAGACAAAGCCTTGTCTAAGATCTCTTCAAGTTTTGATGCGATTCATCAAAAGCCCAACGAGGTGAGATGATAGTAATATCCTCAAAGTAGGCTACAAAAACTATAAAATCATATAAAGCTGGGTATTAACACGTCTAATCCCCAACTAAATCACTCTTTCTGGCTTTGCCGCTGCTGTCGGCTAGTAGTTTCGGTTTGTTTAGGAGCCGGGTCGGTGCTTTTAAACGCAGCTCACCGAGGAGTCGAGAGTCCCAGTCGGAGTTTGAGATTCAGTTTGTGCTGGGACCCAAACACCGAACCAAACCGAACAGAACAGAACATGCATGTAAAAATGCAACGTAACTTGGCCAAGGGGATAGTGGAGTGGGACCTGGAACCAGAGTTCCCAGTTACCAGTTGCCAGTTGCCCTGTTACCGACCATGTGCTGCGGTTGATGACTTGCGCCGGGCCCAGAGACTGACTGACTCTGGCTCTCTGGCAGTCCGACTTTGACTTTGGCACTGGTTAGACTGGCTGGCTGGGAATTTTTGAGGGGTTGGGGGAGTTTTCAGCAGTTTTCAGCAGGACAGCCGGAAAAGAAGGGAACGGGAACGGGAACAGGAACGGGAGTAAGAGTTTGGAGTGGCATTGTGGTCTCTGCTGATTCAGTCTGCTTTTGGCTTTTGACTCCTCGTCCAAGAGCAGGCGGTTTCCTGTGATGTTTGGTTACTTCATAGCCTGCCTGTTGCAAAATTAGTGTGATCAGAGCCATCAGATAACTCATGCCGGCTGGGTATGCTTTGACAAAGTCATTTTGCAACGAAAGGGAGACGTTTTTTTTATTGAATTTCCAAAATATAGGAATAAGGAAAGAAGGGGTACTACGATGGTTGATTTTAGTCAGCAGGAGAGTTAACAAAACTAAGTAAGGGCAAACCCGTAAGGTTAATAAAAGGACAACTTTAACTTTAAGTGAGTTTTACACAATGATGGGGATTCCTTAAAGATCACTTGAGATTCTTGATCAGGGCATCGGTATACTCCGAGCACTTGGCTTTGCCGCCCAAGTCCACGGTGCGGATGTTATCGTCCCTGATGGTTTTCAGCACGGCCTGTTCTATCTTATCGGCATGCTCGTGCAAGCCAATGTAGTGCAGCATCATCACGGAGGACAGTAGCAGGGCAGTGGGATTGGCCATGTCCTTGCCAGCAATATCCGGAGCAGTTCCATGGACAGACTCGAAAATGGCACCATTGGTGCCCACATTTCCCGAGGGTGTAAGGCCCAATCCACCGATCAAGCCAGCACAAGTATCCGAAATAATATCACCATACAGATTGGGCAGCACTAGAATATCGTAGCGTTTGGGATCTTGGACGATATTCAGACATACGGTGGTCATGTTGGACTCCTCGAAGACAACACCCGCCTCATCCATTTTGCTCTTATACTTCTGGGCCATCTCCTTGACACATCGCAGGAATAACCCATCAGACATCCGCATGACTTGAGATTCGGCAACGCATGTAACCTTTTTCCGTTTCATGGCAATGGCATACTGAAAGGCGTACTCGGCCACCCGTAGCGAGGCTTCGCGGGTGATCAGCTTGATGCTCTGCACCACACCGTTGACCAGGGTGTGCTCGATGCCTGAGTATTCACCCTCGGTGTTCTCGCGAATGGTCACTATGTCCACTTCACCGTATATGGTCTCCACTCCTGGCAGAGATCGACAAGGTCGAATGTTGGCGTAAAGGTTAAAGGTTTGGCGGAGCGTAAGATTAAGGGAGCGGAAGCCACCACCGACAGGAGTCATCAGAGGTCCTTTCAGGCCCACCTTCGTTCGGTTCATGCTCTCGATCACCTCTTCCGGTATCGATGTCTCACCTCTGCTGTTCGTCACTGGGGTTACGTCTACGGGTTCAAAGATCAAAGGCGCTTTTGCTGCCTCCAAAATTTTTATGACGGCCATTGAGATCTCCGGTCCGATGCCATCACCAGGCATTAGAGTTATGACTCTTGGTCCACCTCCTGACTTGCCAGACTTGCCTCCTGCTCCGCCTTTTGGACCACCTGTTGGCGCCGTGGGTCCTGGAGGTGACTTGCCAGGAGGCTTACTTGCTGGGGGCTTACTCGGAGGAGTACTTCCAGTAGTAGGCTTACTTGGAGCTCCTGCCTTTGCTGCCGGTTTAGCAGGAGGTTTATTTGGAGGTTTACTAGCTGCAGCTGGTTTACTGGGAGGTTTACTGGCTGCAGCTGGTTTACTGGGAGGTTTAGTGGGAGCTTTACTGGGTGGCTTACTTCCAGTAGGTGGCTTTGTCCCGCTTGGACCAGCTTTTTTCTGTTTCAGTGGAGGACTAGGTTTCCCAGAGGGTGGCCCTTTTGCTGGATTCTTAGGCCCTGAGGGAGTAGTAGGTCCTGAGGGCGGTTTGGTAGGTGGCTTACCTCCTGTCGGCGGTTTGACTCCACTTTGGCTTAGTTCCGGTGGCTGTGACTGGATTCCTGAGGGATCACTCGATTTTCCAGTTATTTCATCCGTTAATGAGTCTATGGACTTTATGATTGATTTTAGTATAAGCTTTTCAGCTTCATCGTCTTCTCCCGCTTTATCGAAGGCCTCCGGGGTCTGGTTGTCTGGAGTTGATTCCTTGATCGAGGATATTCCCGAGAGCTCTGATATGCAATCTGACTGGGATGATTCATTTTCGCCAAAGGCTAACGGCTCCTTTTCCGATATCTCAACCTTTCCTGCTTGTTCCTTTTCTGAACGAGAACCCACCGTGAACTTGATAAGTTTTCCCTTACGATCTTCCGGTGGCTCGCCAGAATCTCCATCGATCGAGGATGAACTATAAAATCGTACAGCTGAGAAACACATTGAGTTCCGTGGTGGCTGGATGCGAGTGGGCACAAGCACCTCATCCTTTCCGGGCACACAGTCGGGTGTTTTGTAGACAGGAGTCTCTGGAAAGCGATCCCGCCGTATCCTTGGAACTTGCTGCCGTGACGGGATCTTTCTTTTCTCATAATTCTCAAAGCGCTGACGACGACGCCAGGACTCGAAAAAGGGCTGTCGAAATCGAATGAAGGCATCGTCTAAAAGCCGTAGAATCTTTCGACTGTTATGTAATCCCGCTGTTCTAGAATGCCGGCCAAGAGCGGTGCATTTGAACAAATTGCCGGACATGGTCTACTGAAATTTTGATCAAATTACGGCCTGGAAGTATATTTTGTAATTGTTGAAAAAACTATAAATTGGCAGATGCGTGACTTTTTAACCCAGGGGATATTGTCAAAATCTCAATCTGATCTCAACTGCTTTTAAAATCTATAAATCTAAAACGAGTTTAGTGTGACTCTTAACTTAGTAACAACGATTGCATGTCTGTTTCCCATGATCCTGAAACTAAAACCTCCTTCCTTTCCCTTTTGACAACTTTAAAAAATTCATTTGCTGATGACGGAAGTCAACACTTGGCCGTATCGCCTCGAATTCCAGTTCCAATTTGCATAGCTTTTAGGCCAGCTTTGTTTTTACTTTTATTATTGCCAACTCCGGCTCTCTGGCTTTTTGCCTTTTTGCTTTTGGCGCCTCCAAGTTTGGCGACTGGCACCGCCGTTTCAAAAGAAGTGAAACTTTCTTGGCCAGAAAAGAAAAGCACGCGACGAGAGAGTTTTCTGGCCAGTCGGGAAACCCTTTCGATTTCCATTTGCAGACGCTGAAAAGGACTTTTCCTCTGATTCGGTTTCCGTTTTTGTTTATTCCTATTTGGGTTAAGCTAATTAAATTACTTTTTCGCCTGCAATTTCATTTTGGAAATTTGTTTGCCTTGAAGGTCGCCTTTCGACTTTCGTTTAATTGAAAAAGTTTCGGCCTGAACCCCGGAGAGAGCAGCAGAAGAACTCAACGACGAATGATTTAATATGAAAATTTCCCGTCGTGTATTTAATTAGACGAGAGTGCTGGCCTGGCTGGATGGGCTCTTGGGTTTCCCAGTAAACGAAATTAGCTGCGAAAGGCAATCAAATTATGCACAAGCCCGTCGTTTTAATGGGCACACCTGCCGACATATGTATATATGTTATGCGACCGACCAACCACGCCCTCTGTTAACCGCCCCCGTCACGCTGTTGTTGCTGTCATTCGGCATAATCATATTTCAACGGATTAGCATAATTTTAACCAAAAAAGGAATATATATATATGCTATATTAATAACGAAAAGTGAATGGTGGCATCGAGTTGCAGACAAAGCAGCAGGAGCAGCGGCAACGGCAGCGGCAGCTCCTCCCCCGCCTTTCCTCCCTTTTTCAAGTTTTTTTTTATTAAATTTTCCTACTGTTCTGGCAGAGCTCTCAAAATCGCATTTATATTCATATTCGGTGGATTTCTATAACGCTCTTAGCGTAGGGGGGGACCTCTATTGTTTTTATGATTATTTTTTGCTTTTTAGTTAGTCGCTGCTTTTAAGCGTTGGCGTTAAGTCGCACATTTATTATTTAATGATTGATGATCCCTCTGCCCGGGGCTTAACTCATCCACGCACGAACACCTCCGGAATTATGATTCGGCTCAGGGGTCTTGGCATCGCTGCCAAGCTGTCTAGTTGACTGCGCATTCGAAGGCCTTATCTAATACTGAACTACTGACTTACCACCACAGATATAACCGATATCTGTATCTAGTTCATATATTTAACCAGCAAAGGCAAACAGATAGCATTTCCCTGTTTGCTCTGTCATTTAGTTAGGAATACGCACCTGCAAATGGAGAAAGGCAAATAGATATAGGAAATTAGTCGATCAGCGATGAGTGTAAATTGGATTGCTAAACTTGGGAGGATCATGCTAAAATATTAAAAAAACACTCTAATTACTAACTGTATCTACATCTGATAAGCTAGTAGACTTCTTAATACCTTTTCCTAACTCTTTAACTTTTATGTTTGAAAAGTGACTTCTCTCCCTCCGAAACCCTCAACACTTTTGTTATTGTTTGCATTTACTTCCATTCTTGTTTATACTTCAGCTTAGTGTGCAAAAATAATAATAATAAAAAAAACTGGCTAAGAACGATAGAAACTCTGGCCAAAGTCAATAAACCGCATAAATGTACAACAACAACAACAACAACAACAACAAATAGAGGCTGGCATAAAGAGGCGAGCAAATAGGGGAACAAAATAAAGAGAGCGCCTCGAATGGCGATTGAATAAAGTCGAAAGGTAAAAAATCTTGGCTTAGGTAAAGCTCAAATCAAAGTGCCTTTTGGTCATTTTTTCACAAATCATTCACACATCTGATGTTTGTTTTCTATTTTTTCGATATTTTTTTTTATGGCAGCCTTTGTTGCTGCGATAACAAGACAAGACCGCCAACGCCATATTAGCCAGGCTTTCAGGGCACTTAAAGGCAAGAAAATAAAAAGTTTTGCAAAAACAAATTGCCAGCCTTTTTCGCTTTACACCCCCTCTAATCTTGTCTGCGCTCTCTGACCAGTCCCCAGGCTTGTCTTTTGCTGTTGCTCGTCATAAAGTGATTTATGGGCTTTAGGTGCAAATAATTGATTTATGCGCGGCCTCAGACATCAGGCAATGTAAATGCGAGTTAGGGCCGAGATGGCCAACTTCAGGGATAAATGTGTTTTGGCCCAGGCAAGAGATTGGAATCTCCTAAAAGAACAACAAAAGGTGCAAAAGTGTTTACCAAATTATACACACTAAATAAGTTGCTCTTCCGCCGCGGATAGACCCCTTTCTGTAACGCCACACGGAGCGGAAATGCCAACTAGTTAGTTATGTATCCACATATCTGCATTTGTATCTGTATCTGAATCAGAATCAGAATCAGAATCAGAATCTGTATCTCCATGCCAGTCGTCCCCCATTCTATTCCGAGGCTGTGTGCCTGTGCCTGTGCGTCCGTGCACACTTCACTAGGCATTAACCTTTACCTTTTCCGTGAACATAACAATCCAAAAGTAAAGAATCAAAGACAACAACGCGCCACTGGCATCCATGAATCAAAAAAACACACAAAAAAAAAAAACTAAAGAATCCGGCGACGACGTTTGTATCTCAGAACGAGAAATGTTTGGGTGTGTGTGTGTTCATTGGAAAACAACGATTACGCGGCACAAAAGACATGGACAAACAATGAGCCAAGAAGAACTCTAAACGATGATGGAGATCCAGCAGAAGTATCGAAAGGTATCGGATATTTTGGGTTTGGGGGTGTGGGTTAAGTGTTCCCAGTGAGTAAGTCGTCGGCGAATTTCACTTTGACTTTACTGCTGCTTCTCTACTCCTGAGCCTGCTGCATCATCCTCGTTGCATAAGCAGCGAGTTGACCAAACCAAATTGGTCATAAAGAGTGGAAAATTGTATCGCTAACATAGATACACATGTACTGTATCTGAGAGATACAATTGCTCTTGCGTTTGTTTGTTTGTTTGACGAATTTACTGGTGAATGTTTAAAAATAGCTGCTAGCCAGGTACCGAAAAGCGTGAGATAGAAATGTATCTACTACCTGTCCATCCATGCCCAGACGAATTTCACACATTTTATGGCCCCTCGCGGGGCGCATCCAGCAGATACAGACAAAGAGGGCAGCGCTAAATATTTAATTGGTTGCCATTGCCGAAGTCTATCTTATCGCCAACCTGCAGTTCGTCGTCTTATCAGAGAATGCATACCAGCGCTATCAGGCATTGAGGTGGCCAAAACGACAGAGATGGCCGAACAGTGCCTGTCCAAAGCGGAAAAGTCCAACAAGTTGACAACTTCCTTTGTGGGGAAGACAACAAGCTTTGTACATTCTTAATTGCTGCCACTTTGGCTTGATTCTAATTAAAATGTGCGGACAGCAAGACGACCTCTGCTGAGAGGCACAACCCCAAAACAGGTTCAGAGATTCCAAACAACCAGAACTGAACTTAACTCATCATGTTTGGAGTTCTTTTTTTTTTTTTTTTTTGTTAAGTCCCATGAAGCATGAATGAAAATGAGATATGTATTTTACAGAAATTGTCACTACCACGCTCAGGTTTTGTTATGCAGAACGGCGTGTTCCTGGAAATCGTTTTGTTCCCTCAATGAACACACCTGAGAATGAATGACAGAGTTAGAGGATGAATTATTTAACCAATTTGAGTGTCGACAAGAGCAACATCTGGATCTCTGACAAAAAAAAAAAAAACTACCAGATACTCCGCCAGAAAGCCAATCAATGACATCATTCCGCCTTCGAAACAACCAACTGAAATTAAACAGAACTCGAACACTGGAAACCGAATCGAGCCACTCTCGACTTGCCTTTGGTATTGAGGTCAGATGTGTAAAAAACACAAAAAACTAAAGCAAACATTAAGAAAGTAGCCACAGACAAAGGCAAGATTTTTATGCTTTTGCTTCTTTTTTTCGCCTTTTTTTTAAGTGCGTGTGAAATCGATGGGCCTGGGCGTCGTTAATTTTAATTGAAACTAATTAGCGCAAATATAAAAAAAAAGATCTGAAATAGTTTTTTGGGCATTTTGTAATATCAGCAATAGAGTGGAAGGCCGATGAAGACCTTTCGGGGGTTTCTCTCTACGATTTATGGCAACATAAAACGCTCCTCCTTAGATTTATGATAAACTTTTGAGTGGAAATGTTTAGGTTTGTTTGTATCTTATCAATAGCTAAGCTTTATACTATTAGTTTATGTTTTTATGGGGCTTAATAAATGTAGAATGTTGTCTTACATAAAGACAATTTGTCTAAAAGAAAACTGCACTTAAAAACGAATTCAGTTTTAGAGTTTGTTAAGTCATTAACCATCAAGTAAAAGGTTTATTAACTGCTTAGCTTAGTGATTTACCGATGCCAGACTTATTTTAGAGACTTAACCAATTGCTTTTCCCACGTTCCGGCTTTTCCGAAAGCATTAAACAAAGACGTGCCGCAATGAATGCCGATTAAGCCAACTTTTAAGCCACTATCCCCCCATAGAAGCCATCGAAATGACTCCACCGCAGTGGAAAGCGAAGTGGAAAACTCATTTCTAGCCATTAGGAAACCTTCGTAAACTACTTAAAACGCAGTCGTAATTAGTTTTGCGTCCAGCACCAAATCAATTAAGAATTTGTGTCTGGCTTAGGAGTTTAATTGATCGGGCGAAAGAGGCGGCAATTAAACTAAACTCTAGACTCTAGAAAAAAAGTATAAAAAAAAAGAACTCAAAACTTAATTGATGAGATAAGTTCGGGTTGAGGAGTAGTGCTGTGTTCTACGCTTGAATGGCGGCATGGGTATGGGAGGTATCTATGGAGGTATCTAAAAGGGTAGCTCAGAGACTGCAACTGGAACAGAAATAAATTTTTAATTATCTACCAGATATTCCGGACCAAAAAAAACATGTATCTCTATCTCATGAATAAAAAAAAATACGAAACGAGTTTGGGACTTGGCTGACGAACTTTTACGATCGCCTCGACATAAGTGTTATGGATCGTTGTTTTTATTTTGGTTCTGCTTGATGGGCTTAGCTACTTTTTGATGAATTTCGCTTAGTCAAATTTTTGGCACATTTTTATGTTTGCAGTTAGGCCAAAAGTGGCAGTTCTATGCCATTTGCCATCACTCGGAAAGGGAACTTCAACTTTTTAATTGGCAGTGCTTTGGCTCTTCCTTAAAACCACTAATGATTTCAGTCAGTATGGAATATATATATATATATATATATTTATATTCACAGTTTTCGAGTTAATTAAAATTTTTTCACTCGGGGATGTGCTCCTTTTGATGGCATAAGCATAACCCAGCATAAACCCACGCACCCCCAAACGCTGGCATGTTATGGAAATGGAATCCGTTTGGAAGAAAAGTTGTCTGGCAAGCAGTTTTCCCCGCTCCAAACCAGTCACGTTTGCCTTTGCCTTCTCTATTTGCACTTTTCACTTATCTAGCCGGGCGGCACACAAACACTCGCTGACGAAGATACGCGGATACACCGGCTCATATCTCATAGTTTGCTCTAATTTCTGTTGCGAGTTGCTTAAATATTTAGTAACATAACCGAAGAGGGGGGCGCGGAGATGGGCCTTATACTCCACTCTATCTTTGATACTACAAACAGATACTTGTGGGCAAACAGATACAGATACAGGTACCCCGGTACGATATGATTAGATACTGCAACTACGACTTCCTGTTCGTCTTTGTAACGCTTTAATGTTAATGTTCAAGTTAATGGGCATGGAATATCACTTATTCGGAGTTCGTTTTTTGTTGGCCAAAAGCAACTCAATTAGCAGTCGAGTGGTGTGCGCAATTAAATTAAAATTTAGTTTTATGCCGAGCGCCTCTACCTGAAGGAGTTTCATGGCGAGCCAAAAGGAGGAGGAGGAGGAACACATCTATCGTATGCATGGCACCGACATCAGATTAGCATCGCAAACAGCACATAAACGTAAAAGTAACACACTCGAGAGCAAACAGAAAGAGATATAGATGAAGATACGGATATGTACTGTACAGATACAGAGATATATATATTCCCTGCAAACAGATACAGATTCAGGGCATAAATAACATGTAGGCGGGAGGCGGAGGGGGGCAAAACTATGTAAACAGTAAATAAATGTCGAAAACAAAGTTCGGCATACTTAAGCAGGAGCAACGACCAGGCCAAAGATACTGAGCCACTGAGATACATAGGTGCCGATCGGAGATACGACGTCTGGGCATTAGCCAAATTGAAATTCCTCAAAGCCAACGCTAATAACTTCCAACTACCAACTACCAGCTCAATTGGGCATTCAGGCATTGAGGCATTGAGGCATTCAGGTGGATAAACATGCACTTGTAACTCTGCGTCTCTTGCTCGTTTCTTCACACTTTTCATTCCCAATGCGGTGCTGCTCAGCAATGTATCTCATAGATACTTCGTCTTCTTAGCGTTATACACGTTAACTACCTGCTTGTGGGAAAGAAATGAAAGACAGAACGGGCCAGACAATGAGAATAAGAAGAACACCACCACCATCGTTCCAGAACAGTTAAGCATTGGAAAAGTTGCAACATCATCGCCACAGATACATTTGGTATTCCAATCGAGTTCGTGGCTCTGCGTATCATGTAATTGTGCGTAAACGCGTAAATACCAATTCAAGGTCGGTTAATCAATAATAATTATTATTTTTCACTCAATTAGACGTCTCTGTGGCACAGATATTCGTATTCGTATTCGTATTCGCTCTTTTCCGATCTTATCTTTTTGTTTGGTCTTTTGGTTTTATTTCTGACTTCGTTTGCCAGTCCCAGTCCCAGTCCCAGGCCCAGGCCCAGCACTCATGTGTGAAATATGCATAAACAAAGAAATATGTCGAGTATCTGGTGGATATCGGTTGAGGTATATAAATATACACCCATACCTCCCATAGCCTTCACACAGTTTGGCTTCAGATGCGTGCCACTTGATATGGCAGTGTCGAGAAATCAGAATAACAAATGATGCCGACTGCCGCCTGCTGTATCTTTGTATCTTTGCGTATCTGTGAGATGTAATGTAATGAACCTGCCCAGTCCAAAAAAACTTTATCCACGGCACGGCCCGTCGAAAACTTTCCAAGGCGTTTCTCAATGCGCAATCTTCTAATTGCAAACGGCGCCCGGCTGTTCGAGTGGTCATAGTTCGCCTCGAGTGGCTGGCTGCCCGCTCGAGATTCTCAGCCAGTTCAATGAATTTGCATATGCTTCTAGTTTCTGGCGGGGATCGGGAATGGGGACGAGGCAGAAAGAAGAGAAACTGCAGCTGCAAGATGGCAAAAACTTTGGCTGACGCGCGATTTACTTGGTTGAAGTATTTAAGCCTGATGGCGAAGGTTTAAGTTAAGTCCTGAATTGAGGCAATGAATTTATCACAAAGGGTTAAGCAAAAAAAAAGTTTCTTTAGAAGGATAATTTCCTGACACTTTTTTAACCAGCTATTTCCTTCAGCTTTAAGTCTTACAAAATGCTATTTTACCCAAGGAAATAAAGAAAAATGATGAACATTTTTCCTAAGAGACTAAAATTTAGGGGAATTGTTCCTCAGGCGGCTAAACCATATCGGTAGCTTCAGCTTCCTTCCCACCTATGGAGCCCCTCCAGCTTCCAGCCCGCATATCTGAGTACATATCGATATCATGGCCACATGGCTGGTGGTGTGAACTTTACCTTTTTCGCTGTAAATCCCACTCGACTTGATGTCGATCGATTCGAAGTAACTCTTGACGGCATCGCACTGGTGGGTCGGTCCGCCTGCCGCGTCCTTTGCCCGCGAGTCCCGCTGCAGGCGGCGTCGATGGTGCGTGGTGGCGCTGTGCTGGTGATGCTGATGGTGGTGGACGCCACCATCCATGTCCAGGTGCTTGGCGGCTGACAGGCTGACAAAGCCGCAGAGCAGGGTAAATAGCAAAAGCTGCGCTAGCCGGATGCTCCTGGCCGCCATTTTGATGGATGATTTCTGCACAGCGGATGATGATGGGGCTAAATCAGATTTTTCTGTGATTTTTTTTTTATATAATTTTTTCTTCGTTTTAGCCGGTAATCGGAATTATTTTCACCACTTTATTTATCTTTTTGCGAGATTTTCGTATTTACTTCTGCATGCTGGCTGTCTGCGGGGAAACAGCTGTTCGCGGCAACACACACACGAATGCACTTGCCGGCTAACACGCACACACACTGAGACACACACACACACACACACGATAGCGCACACACAAACAAAAGGCCCCAAAAAACACGCGTGAGCAATAAAAGTGGTAGTAAACGTGGGATGGTGGGTGGTGGTGGTGGTAGTGGTTGTGGGTGTTGGTGTTTTGAGGAGAGAGCGCGTGTCTAGCTTTTCTATTTCGTTTTTCTTTTTTTTTTTTTTGTTTAGTTTAGAAAAGGTCGCAAAATTGCACACTAATATTTTCGTAACTTAGCCAAGAAAATTGCTCAGAGACTTTCCATGACATAACACCGAATAGTACTCGATTTCTTAAAGCAATTGATTTGCCAGCGATTGTGTTTTTTGTTTTTTATTTACTGCCACGATTTTGTGTTTTTATGTCGGCGAAAATAGATTTAATTGCTAAGCTTCTTGGCAACCTTAGGCACCGGCACCGTTCGCAGGTCGAGGAAATGCACTCGCCTTAGTTTGTAGCGCTTTTCCGCTCGAATTTCGCCTCGAGATTTTATTTAGTTTTTCCGCGCGCGCAACGAACCTTCCACGACGAGCAACCCGAACAGATTGACTTCGTCATTCGACTTCGCACATCAACCGTCCGCCGTGAGTGCTTTCCGAAGCGAAAGAGAGCTAGAGCCGAGAGCACAGTCGGCTGTAAGAGAGCAAGACGAGCGCTCTCTTTCGGTGGCAAAGAGAAGAGCTAGCATATGACACGAACAGATGATGGCACAGTGCACTGTGTAATGTTTGCCTTACCAATGGGAAACTCTTTGAATGCAGCTCTTTAGTTTTTAATATATAAATAATAAATTAAGGTAACTTAAGAAAAGGAAACATGCTTAAAAAAATGGGATTTCTTGGTAGGTAATTAAAATCCCCAACATGAAACTGTTAGAACTTTATGAAAACATTATCCAATTTTGAGTTAATATATTATATATATATATAAATATATATATAAGTATAAGTACAAGAAGCTGATAAAATATTGTATTGTTTTCTTATGAATTCAGTAATATTTTGGTTTTCCCAAAAAGTTTAATTTGAGATAACTTATTATTACGAAATTATGAGAAAACAGGAAACAGGAAAAGAGTCTTTTAGCAAAATTAAATATTTTTTTACCACAATATGAATCACAATTTAAAAAACTTAAGAATTCGTTTTTTCAAACTTTCTTTTTTTTTAAATATGACACACATCTTCAGTTTATCGAATATTCTGTTAGCCCCTTAGAAATGTTAATAATAGGTTGCATTTATTTATGAGTTCCGGGCATTCCTTTGAGCCAAATTCAAGTCTCCTTTGGCCATGGCACCTGTGAATCATCTGCTGATTATTTTTTTTATTTTGCCTAACTGCCTAGTGGGCCTAAATATTTATTCAAATTCTCGAAATGCTCTTTCTAAAAGCTTTCAACGGTGGCTCGCTGCAATTTGCATATTCAACGTAAATCAATCCATCTCACAGTGGCCATCTTCTCCGATTCTCGGCGGTGGTGGCTTTCAATCCGGGCTTTTATCGATGCCGCTGGATGGATGAAATTTGCATGCTCGGTTTTCTAATTGATGGCTGAATGAGTTCTAATTTTATTTCATTGGCTATGTGTTTTACGATCGGTTTGATGAACCCATGGACCAGTCTCTCGGATTTCACGCCTTTGATTGGCCTGACTCTGTGACTCGTTCAGCCGGTATTTTCCTAGGGCTAAATATTTTGTATTTTGAATGGATAGCCATGTCATGACCTCGCACAGCACGTGTGGCTGTATCTTGTTTTTGGTTCCCTTTGCGAATTTTGCGAAAACGAAGCGATTGTTGTCTTGAGGCTGCAGCGGTGTGGCAGACAATGCACGACCCGACGACTCTCTCTCTACCCCCCGACTTTCACTCGTCACCCCCGCGGGCACCGACCTCGATCTTAAATACCTCGGCGTCTCGGGGCGTCTGTATCTATTTCTTCATTAACAAGATACTATATAGCCCGAGCCCGAAGCAGCGGACTTCATGGTGGTCAGTTGCGGGCATCCAGCTGGGCGCAAACGCCCTCCCACCCCCCATGGATGCTAACCGTAGCCTGTAGCCCGTAGCCGTAGTCAGAGCTACGTTCCCGGTGATATGTTCATCACGAAATGGAATCCTATTCAAATTAGTGTGTGCGATAAAATGAAAGACCTCCCAAAAAAATAAGAAAAAAAAAAAAAAAGAACTCAGACCCCGGGCTAACAGCGAAAAGTGAGTCATGCGAAGCGGAAACAGTTCTCCAATGAAACGAATCCACATCAGAATCGACCATGATGATGATGATGATGGGGATGGGGTTGGGGTTGGGGTTGGGGATGATGGGATGGCGAAACGGCAACAAAAAACAAAAACGATCTGGAAAAGGTGAGGTCGAAAATTAAACACCACCACATCGTTTAGATAAAGTTATAAATTATAATGTACGCTACGGAACGATCGATGAGAGCGAAGGTCCCAAAGAAACCGAAACCAAAACCGAAACCCTTTTACTTCTCGCTCTCTCACTATATTTATATTTTGCTTTGTTTTTTTTTTCATCTCATTTTTATACAGGTAGGCATATATTGTATAGGTGTGTGTATAGGTACATATGTGTGTGTGTGTGTAAGGTAAGACTGGAATTAAACGAATTTAGTCAAACGGCATCTATAAATTATGAAGCTTCTTTTTGGCGATCAACAAAATATGAGCGCTCTGAGCTCGAATTTCGTTTAAACGCTTGATTTAGTGCAGGAAAATATGGCCAAATGTTGGGCTATCTATGCAGTTGTATCTGTGTGTGTGTGTGTGTGTGTGTCTTTATATGTGTTTGTTGCACATTCCACAAGCGACAGCGTTTTACACTTGAAATCCTCTGGAGCTGGCTAAAAAGAGATGGCTATAGCCCGACCCGACCCGGCTTGCCTTTTATCCTGGCACAAACACGTTGGTGGCATTTTCTCTATATGGTGTGTGTGTTTGTGTGTGTGTGACTGGTCCAACAGGTTCCATGGAGATTCTTCTCCATATAGACACACCGCTCCCTCTTGCCCGAAGACTGGCATGCAGCATTTCTCGTTCTCGGTCTCGTTTTGCACATTTTTGAATTTTATTTTAATTTCTTTTTATTATATTTTAGCTGCCCCACCCCCTTTTTCTTTTTTCTTCTTCTTCTTCTTGTACTTCGGTTCTTCGGGTTTCTTCTGTTTCATTTTTTTTTTGCCGTTCCTTCCTTTGGGTTTGTGCAACTTTTGGGTTTGTTGATTTTCATTCACCAAAAACTGGTTCGACGTTTAAGTTCTTCACTTTTGGCTTAGACAGGGGTTTTCAAGGAAGTTCTTCGGCTGTTGTTGTTGTAGTTGCCCATACCTCCACCACCCTCTGGCCCATCTCTTCTCGCTGAGGAATGTGTGAAGTCATCGAGCTGGGGGCAGAGATTTGAATGCCAGCCTCGTCTTCTTACACTTTTAAAGACCTGGGCGGCACTTGCAGTGCCCGTACCATAAATTCCATACCCACACACAGCACTTACACACACATACTCTCACTCACAGATACTCACGCACACACCTGCCGACGCTCGAGGGCTGCTCGTTTTTCCATCGAATCTGAGAATCAGTCAAACGAAACAGACATCGATAGCACTTCATCATGTAACAATCAATGCATTGGCCTACACTGCGAGAAAAGCCAAGCATCACTCTTTGGCTCACTACCCCTCACCATCACTTCCAAGTTTGAGCCAATTATATAATTTTGGGAAGCCAAAATTATTAGTAACCTCGGTCGGAGGTTAAATCGAATTGTGTGCACCGTGTAATTGTGTTACATTGCAGGATATTGGATTTTTGTGCTTGATTTGGCACATTGTGATGCGTGTGACCTCATCTCCGCAGTCTGCTAGCCTGCCAGCTTGCCAACCACCCCCTCATGGCCCTGGGCAAGGGTTCCAGCCCAGTTACTTGTGTCAAAAAGTGGTCCTGATGTTCGTTCGCTGGTTCGTTCAGATTGCTCGTGTTTCCCCCTTGACCCTTCTGCCTGACAGCTACTTGTCAATGGCCCTGATGAGTGTGCGCCCAGCCAGCTCCCTTTCACCCACCAACCACCCTCTTACACCTCTATCTGCAACCTGAAGCATGCACAGAGAGAAATATGTCATCTTTATCCTTTGATCTATCAATGCTAAAACTAAGAACCACTCAATTTTTATGATATTTATTACTTTTTATATTCTTAAGCATTTCTTTCAGTGTAGAATCCCCTGTACAGGTGCTACTAGTCCGCATGGCAGAGCTTTGGGCCAGGGTCTGTCAGTGGCAGGGATATTGCTAGAGGAACTGCAAGGGCCAGAGTGGATCTACCTTTGGGTGGTGGATGAAGGGGGATTGGTATTGGTGGATCTCCCTTTTGGGGTTTCTATGGGTGGGAAAAGGACGCAGGGGATGGCTGGCGAGCATTGAGAACGTGTCATTGACAGATTTCAACGCAATTGCGTATGAATGAAATCGATTTTTTTGCCTTTGTTCTTGCTCTTGATGATTGGGTCTAGGTTGCTGCTGATAGCTCCAGTCCACGATGATGATGATTGTTCTGATGATAGTAATGACTGTGGCTATGGATTGAATGCACGGTGGCTATGGCTGTGGCAGTGGCAGTGACAGTCTTATAAGTGAGTCGTTGATGACTAAGATGAGAATGAGATTATTAGTATTGCGTTTAATTTGGACTAGGCAAGTGCCTAGATAAAACCAAAAAATTAAGTCAAAATAAAACGAAATCTTTAATTTTACGCGTTCAGAAATCAGCATTTTGCTCATAATACAGCCAAAAATAGTCGGAATATGGAATGCCATATGTCGATAGGCTTGTATTTTAATCTATTTTCAAAAAAATCAACTGGCATTCTAATCTGAAGAAAAAATTATTTTTTCAATTTTTCGAAAAAATGATGATGGTACCCCTTACAAAAAATGCAAAATTTGAGAAATAAATAATTTTCGAAAATCATCACCAAAATGAAACTGAAAGTTTGTTTCGGTCGTTAGCTGCACAAAACAGTCTTCCTTTTGGATTTGCGTCTTCTTTTGACCAAGTTAGAAGCATAACACTGGGAAAAAATATCGCGAATTTTACTCAAAAGTCATATTTTTGATTTTAAGCCCTAACTATCAGTATTTTCCTCATTACAAAGCCGAAAGTGGTCATAACATGGAATGTTATACCTCGTTGAGTTCGTATTTAAATTCCCCGTCGAACTGTGTACCACACTAAAAAAGTACATTTTTTGAGATTTATCGTAAATTTTTATGATTATTTCCAAAAATGCTAAAATAGGTCTGTCCCGATTTGTGTCTCAAAATTTCAGTATTTTTCTCATTACAAAGCTAAAAATGGTCGGAATTTGGAATGCCATACCTCGTTGAGCTTCTTTTTCAATCTATTTTCAAAATATCGAAGTGCCATTGAAATCTGAATAAAAAAATATTTTTACAATTTTTCGAAAAAATGATGATGGTACCCCTTACAAAAAAGTTAAATTTTAGAAAAAATTTAATTTCCGAAAATCATCTTCA